CCTCAAAACAAACAAACAAAGAAAACAAGCTAATCTGTGACCTACCTGCAATGGTGAGTGTGAGGAAGAGGACGGCTGGGTCAGTGACCAGGTAACTTCCCGCCATCCCCACCAGGCCCAGGACTCCGGCCATGAACACACACACACGACAGGAGAACATATCGATAATCACACTGGACACTGGACCTGAGGAATGTACAACGTGGTATAGGTTTAACACTTCTTGAGAGTCAAATGGTTTAGGTTTAACGCCTCTATCAACACTGTTAGGTTATTTAAGAGGCGGGGCCTCCGAGTTTATCGTCCATCTCCGAAAGGAAAGGACAGAGCCAAGTGGGAAATTGGTGTAAAATGCCTTTCCCAAGGACACAACGTCGGACTGAGCTGAGGCTCGAACCCCTGAACCTGCAGTCTCAAGATACGATTACGAACTCGGTAGCATACCTACTAAGCCACCGACGCTACCTAACGTTTCTTGCAACACTGTAAGGTCGAAACCTCCGAAAATAATGCACATCTCCGACAGTACAAAGCAAAATGGGAAATTTTGTGTTTCTGAGGTACCTGACCAAACCTGACTATCAATAGTTTAAAGTAGCTGGAGACCTTCAGCATAGTTTCGCTGGTGTCAGCACTTGTAACGGCCCTGGTTACTTTCTTTGGAGCAATAAACCATTTGGCTAGGGTACTAACATTCAGCCAAATGTGCAAACTATTTAAATCCAGGCAACTATCTCTCACTTTAAGAAAGAACATTCTGGAATGCCACAGGGTGAGTCAAAAAGTAATGCAAGTTCGTTAATAATTTAAAGAAAATAGACCACACTTACAACTATTATACCTCAAATTGAAGGGCAGCAATTGAGGATCAGATTTTCATTTCTCAATATAGTCTATATTTCGTTCAATAGCCACTGTCCACCTTTTACTAACTCCACATATGCCAGCTTCGTAAAACTTATCTGGTTGGTCTTATGGTCTTAGGGCTACAGCAGTCTAGATTTCTCCATCGTTTCCATAGTGTTAACCTGTCAATGGTTCTTTTCAATGACCGAAAAGGTGAAAGTCTAAAGGAGCCAAATGCAGGAGAATAAGTGTGGTGTTTTCCACATAAACGCGATGATTGTCACCCTTTTTCTGGTACTCGAATGCAGGTTTTCATTGTCATGGTGAGGAAAACACTCTTTCCAAGTTCAAATTTGGTCTGATTCGTCGAATTCTCGCCTTCAGTCGTATCAGTGTTTCAATGCAGGATTCAGAATTTACAGTTGTTCCTCGTGGTAAAAAAAAATCTGTGAGAAGCACGCTATGAACAACCTAAAACACAAAAGCCATGATTTTTCAGGCTGACTCCTCCAGACAACGCTTATCTGACAAGCATATGGAGACGTCTTCCTCTACTTCTGGTTCATTGATCAAACGTCTAAAAAATATATACAGGGCCAAAATCTAGAGCTTGGTCCGTGTAAACATTTTAAAGTCTTTTTTGGATGTTATCAGTGGATTCTCCTTGTAAAACAAGAAATTCAATCCCTGCTCTTTACCCTTAACAGACCTCCAAGGGGGTAGCCATTTTGATGTGACGTCATTCGGGCCAAAATTAAAGAAACTTAAATTTTAACAATTTGAGTTCAAAAGTACATGAGTAAGTACATGTAAGCTGAATTCCACTAAATTCGAAGCAAAAATGTGCAAAATTGCGAACAACTTGCATTACTTTTTCACTCCCCTCGTACATCTTTTCCATATTCCTATATAGCGCAGAGACCTGTACTTTGACAGGGAAAGAGGAAAACAAAATGAATGCGTTTGAGATACAGGGCTACCATCGAATGGGCAGAATAAGTTGGAAAACAAAAAAGACAAACAAAGAGGTGTGTAAGATTCTTCACACAAGACAGATCCTACTGAACAAACAAAAATTAAAGGTAGAAAAATACAATACTATGACCACTTTAAACGACACGAGACCATAGTGAAAGAGGTACTTGAAGGAAAGATGTGGGGCAGGAGAGCCAGAGGAAAGCAAATAATAGAATGGATAGACAACATAAAAACATGGGCTGGACAGGATGTAGCAGAATGTGCAACGGCAGCTCGCGATCGTTAAGGATGGAGGGTCATTACACGTTAATCTCTAAGTCAGAGATGACACCTTCAAGTATTCAGGTAGTCCGATTTCATAATCTATGAGAGTGTATGTCTTACAAACGTTCTCACAAATGGGGTAGACTAAATCAGACAGGTATATCTTTCACAATTTATTTGTAGGGGCACCAGCCATCCATGTCCAGGTGCTGTTTTAGCCTCTTTTTCCAGTCTGCGGATTAATATTCTTTTTTTCAAATTATTGGTTCCGCTTCCATGCCCCTGTATCTATGGTTCTCAACCTGGAAATCGCCCATAATTCGGTGTAACTG